GCACAAAACAACAGCAAAGACACACAAAACCCTTCAGTGTTGCCGTACCAGACGTCTGCCATGTCCAGGTGTGTGGGTGGGCGGGGCCTATCAGGAGGTCAGGTGGTCAGACAGGTGGAGACACCTGGTGGACGGGAGGAGAACAACAGGGTCACATGTTCTGGTCCAACCTACAGAAGACACACAAAGTACGACAACCTGCTTCAAAGCTTGTTTTCTGGCTGTTTGTGGTCATTTTGTGTGTTTTTGTTGTAGTGTTGTGTCTCTTATTGGGGTGTTTGTGTTACTTTGTGGTAGTTTTATGGTGTTTTTGTGTTTAATTGTGGTTCTTTTATGTCTCTTTGTGGTAATTTTGTGTCTCTTGTTGTCTTTTTTGTCTCCTTGTGGTCATTTTCTCTCACCTTGTGTCACTTTGTGTGTCTTTGCGACTCTGTCCATCTCGTGTTCTGTGCAGCTGATTAAATCTGTTCTGACCACAAACATGGAAATAAAAACCTTCATCAGGTTCGAAGGTCGACTCAGAGGGAGGCCCCGCCCCCCCGCCGAGCAGCCGGCCAATAAAACGCCTCGCCACGGGCCGGCCAATCAGACGCTCCGCTGGAGACGAATGCGTCCGTCAGTCCGGACTAATCGATGAGCAGCGACTCAGCGGGCGTCTGTCCGTCAAACAGCAGCTCGGCCACGAGTCCATGTGACCCCCCGCCGCCGCCCCGCGGGATTCTGGGAGATTCTGCTCTCAGAGAGGAGACACAGTGTCCTCTGACATCATGATGAGGAGGTAGGGGAGGAGACGAGGAGAGGAGANGAGACACAGTGTCCTCTGACATCATGATGAGGAGGTAGGGGAGGAGACGAGGAGAGGAGATAAGGAGATGAGACACAGTGTCCTCTGACATCATGATGAGGAGGTAGGGGAGGAGACGAGGAGAGGAGAAGAGGAGAGGAGATGAGGAGAAGAGACACAGTGTCCTCTGACATCATGGTAAGGAGGTAGGGGAGGAGACAAGGAGACAAAGAGGTGAAGAGGAAGGAGACAAGAAGATGAGGAGGGAGTAGATGAGGAGACAAGGAGGGAAGAGACAAGGAGGGAGGAGACAAGGAGAGGAGATGAGGAGACGAATAGGGAGGAGACAAGGAGAGGAGATGAGGAGACAAGGAGAGGAGATGAGGAGACAAAGAGACGAAGAGGAAGGAGAAGAGAAGATGAGGAGGGAGGAGATGAGGAGAGAGGAGGCAGGAAACAAGGAGACGAGGAGAGGAGATGAAGAAACGAGGAGGGAGGAGACAAGGAGAGGAGACAAGGAGACAAACAGGGAGGAGATGAGGAGACAAGACGAGGAGAGGAGACGAGGAGAGAGGAGAGCAGTAATGACCCTTCTTAACTCAGTTCTGTCTTTCTTCACGTCTTCAGTCTGAACTCAGCTTGAACCGGTTTAATCCAGGTTCTGATTCAGGTTCTGATCCAGGTTCTGATCCAGGTTCTGATTCAGGTTCTGATCCAGTCTGGGTTTAAACTGAACTTTAAGATTCTGCTGGTTCAGATTTTCTTCCTTTTAGATGATTCAGTCAGACTGGACGGTTCTGGTCCTGCTGCCGACCGTTCAGGTGACGAGGTCACAGCTCGTAGAAGATGCAGCAAAGACGCAACAAACAATGTTTATTAAAACAACAACAACAACAACAACAACAATAATGATGAAGATAATAATAATAATAACAAGAGCGACATTGAGAGTCATTCATCACCGTGGAAACACAGAAAGACTGAAACCAACCAACCAGCTGACGGACAGAGATAACACACACACACACACACACACACACACACACACACACACACACACACACACTCTGGTTCTGTTTCAGCTGATAACGGTTTCATCTGTTTCCAATTATTTGCGATTTATTCCACCTGCAGACTTTCTGGTTTAATTTCCGGATGTTTCTGTGCCACTCTGATTGTTTGACGACTTTAAATTAAAACCAAACTTCATGAATCAGTTCAATCTGCTCTTAACTTATTATCGTTTCCATTAAGCTGCTGAGACGTGGAGACGGTTCTGACCAACCAGCTGCTGCTGCCACGCTTCAGCGCTGAACACAACGAGTTTCCACGAACTCACCACCGAGCTCGACTCCTGCTGAGACACACAACATGACACAAAGACACAACAACACAACAACACACAACAACACAACACACTGTGTATAGTTACCTTATTATAATGTGAAAAACTGTGAATTTAACAGTAGATATCTAATATCTTAAATATAAACAAACAAACAAACAAACAAACAAACAAGGTGAAACACGGATTGTTTTTTTTTAAAGGTGGAAATTATTCTTGTTATTATTTCAGTTTCAACATATAAACTTTTATATATGAACTATTTTTCCCCAAAAAACCCACAAAATCACAGATAATTAAAAAATAAATATATATTTTAAAAATCAAATAAAATTCAAATAAATAAATAAAATTGTTCTTCACAAAGTATTTCAAATGAGAAATTTGGTCTTAAATAAACATAAATATCTGTAGAACACTGAATAATCATGTCTGACATTATTTTAGTAACAAACAGTATTTCACTGTTTTTAATGTGTTCATGTGTCTGTAAAATACAACATTTTAAGCTGATTTAAATACAATAAAACAGTTTAATTCTGTCCTCACACTGGAAAAAAAAAATATTTGTAAAAATATAGATTTTTGATGAATGTTTAACAGAAAACAGAAACCGTCTGATTTAACAACTTTCAAACATCTAAGGATGAAAATCAACATTTTTTTCACAGTTTTTCACCTCGTTTGTCGGCTATTATTCATTAAAATGTGAATTAAAACCACTCATTTATTGACATTTACATTAAATCACGTTTATTTTTTAACATAATGAGTCGGTTCAGGTGAGAAAAACACACAAATAAACTAATGAACATGAACTAAAGCTGCTCTTTAGGAGCCAATCATCCTCCCAGCAGCAGGAAAATACATAATTAAATAATATTGATGCTAAAATTGATCCTGTTTCATCAGCGTCTGAGTGACAGCAGCCGGCGACCAATCAGTGGCCAGTCTGGAGGGAGTGGGCGGAGCCTGGGCCTGTTTGTGAGTCTCTGTGTCTGCTGTTTCATGTGTTCGGTCAATATTTGCTCGTCTCTTCTCTCCATTAAGGCTTCATTAGACTCGACCGGCTCGCAGCGCAAACACCAAAAACCTGCTGCTGTTTCCACACAAACACTCCCACAGCTCCCAGTGCTCCCAGTCAGCGCGACACTGGGATTAACGACGACCAGCACAGAACAAACTGGGACTGTTGCTGCAGGAGCAAAAAAAAAAAAGTACATTTTTTTATTTTAAATCTGTTTAAATAACCAGATTTTCCTTCATAAATAATATTATTTGTGTACTTGCTGCATGTTTTGCTCACTTCAGTCCCCAGAAGCTGTGATTTTTCATTTTTAGTTTCATTTCCGTTTGACTCGTTTTATTCACTCAAATCATCAGATCAGGAGCAAAACTCCCTGAAACTCATGTCATAGATTTAAGGAGCAAACCGGTAAACTTCCTGTCATGAAAATAATAGAAAAATGCAGAATCCACAGAATTAAAAAGAGAGAAACTAAAGTTAAACGTGAGCTTTTCATATTATAGTTTATTGTTTTCTAAACCAACATGATTAAATAAAGTATTTAAATAATATTTAGCAATTTAATATTCATCAGGTTCATTAATATTAAGATAAAATAGTTCAGAAATTCTAAAACCCTCATAAATTAGAAACACTTTACAGAATTTAAGTTCATTCTAAGAGTTCAGAGTTAAAAGTTATGATTTAAATCAACTTAATTAAGTCAAAAGAAGTATTTGATTAAACATTATTCTTACAGATTCTGTCGGATCAACTTAATTTAAATTGTTGTAAAATGTGTTTCCTCACTTTGAATCAACCCTGATCAATTAACAGACTTATTTTTTAATGATTGTTTTTATTAATTTTTACTACAAATACTTTCCATAATTGTATTAAGTTCATTCCAAGACTTATTTTGTGTCGCTTCCCTGTCAAATATATTTACTCAAAAGTTCATGTTTGGATTCATTTATTCTGTTGAATGAACTTTTATTGTGTAATTTTATTAACGTGCAGTTAATTGGTTCAACCTGATTAAATGAAGTTGGAGCCAAATGTTGGAAAGAAGTTGAATTACCTCCAATAAACTATTATCTACAAATATAAATATACTTAACATACTTATACATTTAATTAAGTTCATTAATTTTGGTCTTTTTCGTCGCCCAGGTAAATATATTAACACATAAAAGTTATTAATTAGATTAACTTAATTAATTAATATTCCCATGAGATTAAATGTCTTTATCTCAGCGGTTCTGTTGGATCAGCTTCATTTGTTGGGATAATTTTAATTACATGAAGTAAAAAAAAAAAAAGTTGTAAAATTAATTTGACTTTAATCATTTAAATAAGTTGAATCAACTCAAATAAACGACGTTGAGTGAATCTGTGACTCAACATCAGCCTGAAGATGTAAATAATTAACGATGTCGCTGCTTCAGAGGAACGACGGCGACGCTGAACAATCAGCACCAAAGAACCTGCAGAACTGGATCCGACTGTCAGACGCTTTATTTTGAAACGTGTCGATGGGACAAAAGGGGCGGAGCCACAAACTTGACTGATTTCTCGCTTTAATTGATAATTACATGAATTACTCAGGTACACTGCAGCACGCCGGCTGCTGATTGGTCCGTGCGGTCGCTCGGGTGAAGGCCAGGTGGTCGGGGATTGGTCGGTGAGTCCGGGGTAGGTGTGGCCTCAACTGGGAACAGGAAACAGGGACAGGTGAGACACGGTGGGCCTTCAAAATAAAACAATCTGCAGCGTAAAAAGAAACAAGCAGAAGTTCTGTTGACGTTCTAGAGGTTCTGCAGAGTTTTGGAGGTGTTCTGTGTTCGGTTCCTACCTGTCGGGTTCTAGCAGGAGGTGAAGCCCTTCCAGTAGAAGTTCTTGCAGCCGGCTTTGCGGTCGCGTGGCGGGATGTTGTTGGGCGGGTCGACGGACCGCTCCAGATTCATCCTCCCGCCTGTTGCCATGGAGACGACCTCGGCCTCGCGCTGGGCGTCGGGTTCTGGCAACGACATCTGGGCCAGCAGGTCCTCCACCGCACGTTTACTCCACTCCTGAGGAACAGAGTGGGACGAAGTTAGAACACAGTAGAACCGTGTGGAACCACTAAGGTCTGCTTAGAGTGGAGCTGAGGCCCGGTTGTAGTGATGTAGAACCGTTTAGGACAATGTGGACGGTTTCAAACCTTTCAGAACCCTGTTCAGCACCACTGTAGAACAGTTTAGAATGGAGCCAAGGCAGGCCCGGTTGTAGTAAAACAGACCATTTAGGACCGGTCAGAACAGCAAGAACCCGGTTCAGCACCACTGTGGAACAATGTAGAACACCTTAGGACTGGTTAGAACCGTTTGGAACATAATCTAACTAGAACTGTCTGGACCCACCAGAATGGTTTAGAATGGAGTTGGATCGCAGGTAGAATCATTTAGAACAGCTCAGAACAATCTGGATGGTTGAGAACATTTGAGAACATTTGAGAACATTTGAGAACACTTTAGAACATTTTAGAACATTTGAGAACACGGCTTAGCGCCACCGCTGTAGAACACTAGAACTGTGTGGAACCTGACAGAACAGGTTAGATGGACTTGAGTCTGAGGTATGTCACTACGGACAGCTCAGAGAACAATACGGCAGCTTAGAACTGGTTGGAACAGTTCAGAACCGAGCTTAGCAGCAGGTTCTAACAATTTAGAACTATTTGGTATAATAATTGACAACAGTTTATGACATATGGTCAGTTCAGAACCATTCAGAACACTTTAGAACCACATGTGGCTTCAGTGTGGAACACAGGATAGAACTGGTTAGAACAGTTTAGAACAGAGTTTAGTCTCAGTTCTAATGATCTAAAACAGGCCTGAACACAGCTTAACAGCAGGTTAGAACACTTCAGAACGTAGGGACGGTTTAGGACTAGTTAGAACTCTTTAGAACAGAGTTTAGCACCGCCGTAGACGAGTTTGAACCTGTGTGGAACCGGAAGAACAGCTAAGAATGGACCGTTTAGAACCGTGTAGAACAGCTAAGAACTCCCTGGAAACGCCCAGCGTTGGTTTTTAACTCCTCGAGCTTCTCTTTCAGGTTTCTGGGAGTCGTCGATCACAAACCAAGGAATGAATCTCGAGTTTGAAGAAAAAGTCAATAAAGTTGATCTGCGGAGGAAGCTCATGAGGAGAGACCGAAAGCTCCAGAACCGTCGGTACTCAGCACCGAGAAACATGAAGGTATTTATGTCTTTAGAACAAAGACATAAATGGACGACAGGCACCGAAAGCTGAAAAGATCAACTGATTAAATTAATCGTCAACTGATGTGAAAACTGGTTTGAGCCATTTTTCAAAGAAGAAAAACTCTAAACTCTGAGACTGCAGCTTCCTAAAGATGAAGCTTTTCTGGTTTCTCTGACAGTAAACTGTCGAGACGTTTGTCGTCCTGGACTTTGGGAAACGTTCTGATGTTTCAGAGATCAGACGATGAAAATGGATCTTCCTAAAGCTGTCCGAGGTTTTGGAGTCCGGCCTCACCTGCGACAGGAGTCCGGCGCTACGAGCTCTTTGCAGCAGCCGGTGGTGACGCAGCTCCAGGTCCAGGTCCTGGTTCTGGAACTGGTCCTGGTCTCTGTCGGGCTGCGAGGAAACTCCGCACAGGACCAACGCCACGAGAACCAAAACGGCGGGACAGCGAACACACTGCATACCTGCAGAAAGACCAGAAAGTTGAGGCGACACAAACAGACACGAAAGCAGAAGAAGAAGAAGAAGAAGAAGAAGTTCCTACTGGAGGCTGGTCTGGGATCTGCTGCTGGTCCGGGTGCTGGTTCTGGTTCTGGGCTGGTCTCTGGTCCGGTCCTGCGGGTGCCGCTCTTTTGAAGCCCGGTGCTCCTCCTCCGGCGGGTCACGTGACTCGGCGCCGCTGATTGACGGCTGGCGGGCTGCGAGGCGATGAAGGAACGCCGACATCCAAGTTAAACAAACGTCCATTAGTCCTTATTGACTTTAAATGGAGTCTGAACAATAAAACAATGAAGCTATCAGCGGCGGCAGCAGCAGCGCCTCGGCAAATACAACGGCAGAATGTCGCGCTGAAGAGGACGGGAATTAACGGAGCGTTCAGAGGATTAGCAGACTTCATTAGCACTCGCTGATATCTCCATTAAACAAAGAGGCAGCAGCAGCGGCAGAGAGTCGCCCACTCAACATTCAGTCAGAACAAACAGGACTTTAATACCATCCAGAAACACTTTAAATGCTCTGCTGCAGGGAGGCAGAGTGGAAATGACATCAGGGAATCCCAGCAACACCGACGCCTGAGTGAAGGCCTGCTGGAGATAACACTTCATTTACGTTCAAACTATCAGTGGAGCCACTTTAGATAAGCCGAGCGGTTCCTCGTGTTTACACAGCAAAGGAACTCGAGACCAGATCTTAGAGGAGGATGAGGAATCCTGGTCTCTACAGCTTGTCGAGATCTAAACGAACTCCATCCATACACCGAGAGACCAACCAGAAACAGACACCAGAAGCACTTTATTTTATTTTGGTGTGATTCAGTCTGACCACTGAGATCCAGAACGTCGGTTGGTCACTGATCCAAACCCAGAAACAGAGACTTTCCATGAAGTACCACATTATTCCTGAGCTGAACAGTCGAGTGGTTCCTCTTCAGAAACGAAAACGATACGGAAAATTCAGGCCCCAAAAGTAGAAACTCAACACAACAGAAATGAATCCAGCGTTGGTCTTTGAAGTCAATCAATCAAACTGCATAAACGTGGTTCTACAACGAGCTGTGAACAGGAGAACATTCTCCTGTTTGGACCCATGCGCTCCGTCTACGTCTTCATCGTGGCTCCACGTGGAAAGGAAGCGCCAGAGGAACTAAAAAATCTGGAAAATGATCCAAGAAGATGAACTAAACATCAGTGAGGCCCAGAGTGAGCAGTAAGCAGGAGGTCTAGAAGGAGCCAGAGTGGTCCTAAAATGAGTCCGCGGACCGTGAACAGATGCTTCAGACTTGGTACAGAGGTCATCAGTGGACACCAGAGGTAGTGTGGAGCTCACTACAGAACATCCACCTCTATGGACGGAGGACAAAATCTAAAGATGAAACTTTGAGAAGCCTCATGAATGTTGGGAGAACATTCTTTGGTCAGATAAAGATCAACGTGTTGGGCCCAGATGGAGTCCAGATGTTTGATGTGAACCTGAACCAGGACCACCACGATGATGCATGGTCCTGACAGTGAAGCACGGAGGTGGCAGCATCATGATATGAGGCTGCAGGAGGTGACATTTATAGATGAACGTTTGGGGATAAATACTGGCTGACAAGACGACTTGAGCTGGAAGAAGAAGAGGAACATTCCAGCATCCAAAGCGCAACATCTTCTGAAGAAGAACAAAGTGAAAACTACGACTTGAAGTGGCTGTAGAGCGTCTTTGGAGTGTATTAATGTTTAATGTGAACCTGAACCAGGACCACCACAGTGAAGCACGGAGGCGGCAGCATCATGATATGAGGCTGCATGACTAAGCAAAGAGCAGCTGAAGGACTTCATGGACTCTGGTATCCTCCTGCTGAAAGGTGGACCTACGATGTAATAAAACATTAAGTATTGAAATATTTTAATTTGCCATAAAACTGAGCAGTAATCTGATTACTTTCTCATTTAACATTTAAGTGGTTTTACCGTTTCACGCTGCAGCGCCACAGTTTAACTGAAGCTTAATAAACAGTTAGATAGTTTATCTCAAACAGCCTCGTTAAATAGCATTCAGCTAAAACTGACGTTGCTTGAAGTGAACATCAGAGCAGTTTACGTTCAGCTATGGAACGAGATGAGTCTCTTGAACTCTGCGCCATCTTGTCTTCCCTCTACAAACATCACAAGTTTCTAGATTTTATTCATCTACAGCAGCAGTTAGTCTGGAGTTATGAGACCTAATGTTACGAGTCAGACGTATTTTAGTGAATATTTGACTTTAAATTATTAGAATTGTTAAAATCTGCACATTATTGAAGATAAATGTGAAGCTGAGCCAGTTCCTTAAGAAAACCTAAAATGGCGGACATGCCCCGCCCCCTTTTCCTCTCGCAGCCAATTGCCTGCTTCGTTCTAGCAAAAACCAAAAAATCCAGCCAATCATCGACTCCGTTGCAGGAGAGTCCAGAAATGCCAGCCAATCGCGTTGCAGCGCTGAAGCTAGGGCCAGTGTCACGTGAAAAACGCTTTTTAAACGTTATTCTGGGACAAAGTTCAAATGTTTACGCGTTTCTAAAATCAGATTTGTGATTCTACACCCACAGCTTTGCATTTAGCGTTAGCTCTTTTAGCCTGAAACTAGCAAGATGGCTGCCCAGCAGCTTCACAGCCCAAAGTATGGAAAAGCCTTGATTTCAAAATAAAATACACAAATAAATGAACGTCCCCAAATTAAATAGTAAACACAGCTCTGAAAAAATCTGTAAATAAACAAATGAGGATGAAACAAATAAATAAATGTGATCATTCTTTATTTATTGACATTTTTAAACTCAATAATTCCACATCTATTCATGTTAGGATTTATTTCTCACCCATATTTATTTCTCTAAGTGGAAGATTTAGTTATACATGTATTTATTTAATGTTGTATAATATTTTTTTAAAACCCAAACTACAGTTTAAGAACTTCTACAGCTACGGTTAAAATGAATGATCGAGTTTCAAACATCTTTAAATTAAATTTCTTTCATTTATTGCCTATTCCAAGGTTTTAACTGTTTTATTTTTGCATTATTTATGTTTATCTCCACAAAATATAAAAAAGGCAGCAGCTGAACTCGTGCTAAGCTAAGTTGTAGCTTCTCTACTTTTGACTCAATTTTACGTGTTTTGGTTTGAAAATTACTTTTAAATCTTCCACTTAAATGTATTAAATTGTGATTTTTGCAGCCAACAGTCACTTTATCAGGAAAACTAACGTAATACGATGAAACGACTCAGTCACAGAAAGCTTCTATACTTCAGTTTTTTTCTTGTTCGTGTAGAAACGGTGGATTCATGAGATCATCTCTGGTCCTGTCTGACCTCCTGCAGCTCAACGTCCGTCCTGCTGCTCCTCTGTTTGGTTCTACGTCCGAGAACGTTTGTCCTCCACAGAAAGGCCTGAATGCATCGAGACCATCAGAAGTATTCATGTCTCTGTCTGCTGGAGGTCATCTGGTGTCTCCTTATTTTGTGTATCTGCAGTCACTTCAGGTTTTGTTTTTGTAAATTTGCATTTCTTCCTTCGTCATTTTACTTCCCTTTGTTGTCATTCTGTCTCTACAGACATTCTGTGATCCAGTCGAGTCATCTCGGCCGTTTTGTTATTGTCATAATCACATAGTTTTTGTTTGATTTTGTGTTTTTGAGTCTTATTTTGGTCATTTTGCAGATTTGGTGGTCATTTAGTTTCTCTTTGTGACGCTTTATTTTAGTCATTGAACGTCTCTTGTACCATTTTGTTCCTCTGCATTTGTTTTAACGCTGTTTTTCTTGAGTTATTTTGCATCTTTATGTCTATTTGTGGTTATTTTTACTTCTTATTTTGGTATTTTTTTGTACTTGTGTGTTGTTTTGAGTCTTTATTTGGTAATTCTGCTTATTTATGTGTCCTTTTTGTGTCTCTGCAGTCTTGTTTAGTTCATTTTATTTAATCTTTGTGGTGGTTTTGTGTCTCTGCAGTCACTCTCAGTCGCGGCTTCAGGCTTTTATGGTCATTTTACGTCTTATTTTGGTATTTCCTGTGTCTCTTTGTGGTCATTTAACAAGCTATGTTGGTCATTTTTAATATCTCAGCGTTAATTTTGTGTCTCTTCAGTCATTTTTTATTTCTTTACAGTGATTGCAAATCCCTGTGTAGCCTTCCAGCGTCTCTTTGTTGTCTTTTGCGGCCTCTCTTATTCGATAAAGGCGCTGATGTGTTGGCTTTCTGTCTCTTTGGTTGATGTTTCAGGGCCGCTAAGTGGATCAGACTCATGCTGGCGTCGGATTCGTCTCTGAATCTCCGTAATCGCTCGCGTTTGACGGATTATTAAACACCGGTTTGCCGTCGTCGTCGTCGTTGTCGGGCGTCCCGCGGTTTCTCTTTCTCTGAATCTTCGGTCTGCAGAAACATTTCCATCTTCGGCTTCGTCGTCTTCTCCGGATGCTAATAAACAGCAGATTAGCAGCAGCTGGTTGCCGCGGTGACACATTAGCGGCGAGCGGTCGTCGCTAAGGAGCCGCCGGCATGAACACACACACGCAGACACACACATACACACACACACACACACACGGGGGGCATGATGGGAAGGCGTTGACATCACGCCTCCTCCGTGTGATGCGTACAGTTTTGGTTTCCACGCTGAGTCACTGAGTGAAGTCACAAACATGCAGATTTCTGGAAACACAGTTGGGTTTAATGCGCAGCGAAGCGTCCACATCACGAAAAAGGCCCAGAGAACACCTGAACGCATCACCGGCTGGAATAAAGGCAAGCGATTGGACGAGCGAGCTTTAATGAGTCAAACCGCCGTCCTGCTGCTTTCATTTGGTTTTCTCCCACTGAGGGACATTAATGAGGAGAATAATGGATCCGATGTCAGTGTTCACACGAGAAGCCGTGTTATTACGGCCCAGAACGTCCCCGAGAGAAGTTATTAGCTGGAAACTAAACACGATCATTAGTCGCTGCAGGTACAGTCGGGCCGCAAGCATTTGGACAGTTAATATCAAGCAAATCAAATGTGACTTTCAGCTCCAATACAAGAGATTTAACTTAAATATTTAAGAAATTACAGCAATTTGTGGACACGGCTCCTCCTTTTCCACACGATCAAAAGTAACTGGACACGCTAACGTCACTGCTAGGTTATTTTTAAGTTACAGAAACTGCATCGCTGTCCGAAAACTTATGGCCTGAATGTCACGGAGCACAAAGAATACACTTTTTTTTTTTTTTCCATACAGGCAACTTATTCATAAATGACATAGAGACGCAAAATAAACCAAAAAAAATGAAAAAGACAACAAACAGACAAAATGACCATGAATAGGGATAAAAAAAAAAACAACAACAACAAAGAAACAAGAGGAGAAACAAAAAGACAAAAAAAAAAACGCACAAAAACCCACAACAGGACACAGGACAACCACCAACAGACACAAGATAACCACAAAGAGACAAGAAAACAACCACAAAGACAAAACCAACAACAAAAACAAATAAAACAACCACAAAGAGACATAAAACAACCACAAAGAGACACAAACCACAGACACAAAAAGACTGCAAAGAAACACAAACAACAAACCAACTACCAAAAGATACTAAACAACCCCAAACACACAAAACAGCCACAAAAAGACACAACAAGACCACTAAACAATCACAAAGAGACCCAAAATTACCACAAAGTGACATCAAACCAACCAACAATCGACAAAAAAACCACCATGAACACACCCGTGAACCACAAAGAGACTAAAACAACCACAGTGAGAAACAAAATGGCTGCAACACAATCGCAAAGACACAAAACAACCACAAGAGATACAAAACAGGAGTTAATTACACCATTAGCGGGGCGTTTCGCTAATAAACAGCCAATCACAGCGCTTCTCACTTTAAAGGGGAAATGAAGCGCTCGGTCAGGTTAGCATAATTCACTACCTGTATGTCCGCTGTATTCAGAAGGTGTTTGATAAACACGCAAAACGTAAACATATAAAAGGACAAAGACGGTCGTTTGTGTCTTCTCTCCAGAGGGCGCCGCCATCTTGGAGTACGATAGCCGGTGACGTCACGCGGTTGGTTAGCTTCACAGGTTTAGTTTAAGACCAAAAAAACGATGGCGACTGAGGAGCCACATTACTCCTGGATAGAAGGATGAATTTTGCATAGTGAAAGTCACAAACAGTTAACTTTTACAACCTGCCACTGAACAGTCCTGATGCTCTGCTAGCGGCGCTGACGACAACGAGCCTCGATGGGCTCTGACTCTAGGGTTTGTAGGGAACACTTTCTGGAGGAAGATTACGGACTAAAGCCTGACGTCATGTCAGTGTTCAACTAACAGCTAAAAGGATGTTTACACACATTTACTCATTGCAGTCATTTTTTCCTGCTACATTATAAAGCCATCTCCTGTTAGCTAACTCTGATGCTGCTAAGATGCGATGGAAACCTTTCATCTGCAGGACAACAGCTGTTCACAGTGAAATGTGTCAGTAAGACACATTCAGAGGTGTTGAACTTTATATTTCTGTCAGTGATGATGTTCTTATCAAACAGCTAGGTGTCCGTAAATACAGCTCTTTGTAGTTAGCGGTTTAGTTCCGTTTAGCTCCATCTAGCTCTGTTTCCCTGCAGTGGACTGACTTTTACATGCTAACGTTTTTCGTGTTTGTTATACACCCTCTTAATAGAGTGGGAACACATGTCGTGAATTATGCTAACTTGACTGTGTGCTTCATTTCGTCTCTACAAAGTGGAATGTTTATCTTCAGCTCGTCGTAGAAACCCGATAAAAACACTTTGGATCACGTCCTGGCTTCTTCTCGTTCAGTGTTTGGCGCCAGAACAACGTGAAGGAGTTTGTGTTGTTGTTGTTGTTGTCTCAGCTGTCTCCCAGTAACACACAGTCATCAGTAGTTTTACGTAGTAGTGTTTGCAGTCGTAGTATTTACAGCAGCAGTATTTGTCTTCACAATTGCTTCATGCAGACTCTGCAGCGGCTGATCAGGTTTCCTGGGAGGATTCCTCGGTCGGTCTGAGGCCTTGGTTTGCTGCAGGACGACAGACACATGTTGTTAGACCGAACCACAGGTGGAGTTTACCTGCTGGTTAAAGAAATGCTGCCCTCTGCTGGGCGGTTGGAGAACTACAGCAGATCAACCAAAATGGATTCACAACTGGTCGCTCCTTTCTGAGGACAGCAGATGAAGAAGTGTTCTTGTGATCAGCAGCAAAAGGGCTCAAAATGTTTAACTGTTGGTAGGAACTTATGACAAAATTATAAAAATCCCAAAACTCAGTGATGATGGAGCGACTGTGTATCAAAACATTATGATAAAGACGTTGTTGTGTAACTTAAAGTGATAAATGTTGTGCACCTGAATATGCATGTCGGTGGTTCGTATTTCAATATGTTTATGACACTATGTATACCTTGATATGTTGACGATACTGTTGTATATCTGAGTGTATTGAGTACCTGAACATGTGTCGATGTTTTTTATTTTAGTATGTTCGTGACACTACGTATACCTTGATACGTGTACCTGAACATGTCAATGATACTGTCAACCTATTACTTACATTTATATGTTGGTGATACTGTTGTATACCTGAAAGTGTTGACTACCTGAACACTCTGCATACCTTGATACGTTGGCAATGCTCTCCTATAACTAAAGATGTTGTGTACTTTGATATGTTGTAGGTACTGTTGTATATCTGAATGTATTCGCTACCAGAACGTGTTATATACCTCGATATGTTGATGACACTGTTCTATACTTGAACACATTGCCTACCTGAATTTATTTTGTTATTCACATAAAAATGTTTCGTACCTAAATGTTGACGCAGTTGTGTCCCATCACACAGTTAAAGGTGTTTAGTACTTGAATATGTCAGTGAAAGTTTAGCATACCGTAATGATGAACGCATCATTACAGGTGTTTTGTACCTGAAGAAGATGATAAACGAGTCTATTAAGGTGTTCTGTACCTGAACACAGCAATAAGTGAGTTTCTACAAGTGTTTTGTACCTAAACACTGTGATAAACGAGTCATTAAAGGTGTTTTGTACTTTAACTTAGTGATAAACATGAGCCATTAGAAGTGTTTTGTACCTGACCACAGCACATAATCGAGTCACTACAGGTGTACAGTACCTAAACACTGTGATAAACAAGTCATTAAAGGTGTTTTATACCTAAACACAGTCACAAATGTGGTCATTGAAGGTGTTTTGCACCTACACTAGGTGATAAACGAGTCATCAAAGATATTTTGTACCTCAACACAGCGATAAATGAACCATTCGTGGTGGTTCTACCTGAACTCTGCGGGTCTCTACAGGTATACGTGCCTGAACATCTCTGAGGGGTTGAGGGCCGCCAGCCAGTAGCTGTACGAGTCAGTGTAGTAGTTGCAGGTTCCTCGGCCGTGACACTCGATGAAGGGAATCTTCCGGAAGTTTTCCAGACAGGATCCGGGCGAGGCCAGCGGCTGACCCGATCCTTCAGCCCCGACTCCGGTTTCCTGGAGACCAACAGAACCGACGGTCAGCGTAACAACCGGCTGCCACTTTGGATGGCTTTTATTTTGAAGGAACAACCTGAGCTCACCATGACGAAGGAGAATCCGGCCCAGAGCGAGTCCCAGCCGTCGGGGCAGGATGGGATGGTCATGGTTTGACTGTGGACAGCGATCACGTTGGCTCTGGCTTCACAGACTGAACACCTGCAACACAACGGACACACAAACCTTCAAAACAGCTTCAGCTCGGTGTTCGTCTACGTTTTTGGAGGTAATTTGGTGTCTTTGTGGCCTTTTATGTAATTTTTTTGTTGTTGCTTTGAGCCTCTTATTTGATTTGTGTTACTTTGTGGTCGGATTTTGTACATTTTGTCTTTTTTTTTAAAATCTTTTTTAGTCGTTTTAAGTCTCACTGGGTTCAGTCTGTGTCCTGTTTTGGTTGTTTTGAACCCTTTTGGGCCTTTTTGTGTTTTATTTGTTGTTGTTTTTATGTCTTTATGTTCTTTTTGTGTCTCTGTGATTTGTTTGTGCCTGTTTTAGTCATTTTGAGTCTCTTTTAATAATTTTTTTTGTCTCTTTATAGTTGTTTTGTGTCTCTTTTGCATCTTTTTAAGTGATTTTTAGTCTTTTCTAGTTGCTGGTCATCTCTGTTTTTGTCTTTCTGTACCTTCTGTAATTATTTTGCATCTTCTTGTTGCTGATGTGTTTTCCTGTTGGTTTAAGTCTCTTTGGGTTGTTTTACATGTATTTGTGGTCATTTTGTGCCTCTTTCAGGTCATTTTGTCTCCAAGGTTGTTGTTCTTCTGTCTGCTTGAGTAGTTTTGTTTCACTTTGTGGTCATTTTGTGCTGTTTTTTTTTGTATTGTTCAGACATTTCGTGCCTCTTTGGTGTTTTTGTGGGTCTTTTGCAGTTGTTTTGTTTCTCTTTGTAATTGTTTCATGCTGTTTTTAGATGTTTTGTGCCTCTTTGTGATCATTTGTGCTTTTTTTTCAGGCATATTTTGTCTCTTTCCGTGACACTGTATCAGTACAAACGTGTTTTTCTTTGTGTTACCGGCTGATGTGGGTCCTCAGCGACTCCTCGGTGAGGAACGGCAGGTCCTCGGGCAGCTGCTCGTTGGTGGACAGCCAATAGGAGTAGTCGTTGCGGGCGGCGTAGCGGCAGGTTTCGTCGGTGCTGCAGAACAAGAAGGGCATGGTGCTGAAGCGAGGCATGCAGCTGCCCAGCGTACCTGCGGAGAAGCAAACGTCATCATCACCGGACCTTTAACTAAAGGCTGAATCTGTGGGCTGCAGGCGGCGGCTGGTACCCAGGTCCTGGCCGTGAGCTCGGTTGTTCCCGTTGATGAACAGCAGCGAGTATCCGCTGTATAAGAGCTCGGACCCTGCAGGGCATTGTGGGACGTACAGTTCCTGGCTGTGTTTGGTGAACAGGAAGCCGTTCTTACTGGGCGGCGTCCCGCAACCGCCCGGTGGACCAGGAAGTCCTTTAGCTCCGGTCTGTCCACGGAAACCTTTAGGACCTGAAGACACGGAGTCAGGAGACGACAATAGGCAGCGTTTAATAGCACAGATAAAATAAATACAGGAGGCAGCAGAGGAGAGCCAATTTAAAATACATCTGAGGTGAATCCAGGAAGCTTTAAGGTGCTCGGATAAAAAGCTTCCCAGATGTTTAGATTTCATGGCAGAATAAATCCAAAATGTCCACATAAATGATCAGCAGCAGTTGACCTAAACGCTGAGCTGCAGCTTGTTTTTGTTTCTCTATGCGTCAGAATATCACATTCATCCATATTTATAGTCCTGCAGGAACCTTCTGGGACCACAGCAGCACCCTGGTTTGAAAACTATTTACTTTTTTCTATTTCAAAGGACAATAATTATTCAGTTTTGCCAGTTTGGATGTTTTTTTTTTCCCTCATGGTGGACAGAAGTAGTTATTTTTCACTTATTTTGGGCTGGTTTCAAATCATTGAGGCCTAATTTTGAATAATTTAGGACAAATTTTTACACATTTTGGACACATTTAGGTCAAAAAACCAAAACAAATTTTAACTTTGTCTGGTCCAACTTCACCACATCAGGTTCTGCTGATGTTAGAGCCTCAACAGTTGGTGAAATGTGACCAGAGACTGGGTTCTAGTAGAACCATGGATCCATCCATAGACAGACACTGACAGGAACTCTCTGAGGACGTTCCACCACCATCATTTGAAAATGTTGCACTTTTTTCCCATTTTTAAAGACCAATCATTAAAAATCGGTTCTCCCAAAGTTCCCTTCGATCATCAGATCTGCTGGAAACTATTCTGTCACCAAATGTCATGGTTGTAGGAGTTTTATTTCTGGAGATGTTGAACCCTCAAAACGGCTTCACAGGTTTGATTTGACTGACAGGTTGGTGTTTCTGGTTTTTCTTACCATTCCTTCCGGGGAATCCTTGGTTTCCTTTATCTCCCATCAGTCCAGGTCGACCTCGTTTTCCTTTTCTACCCGTCTGCCCGTCGTCGCCTCTCGAACCTGCGGACACAAAACACCAGCGACGCGTCAAAATGAAATGAAATGAAATGAAATGAAAAATACTTTATTCATCCCAGAAGGGAAATTCAATAATAATAAATAATAAAAAAAGGCACGTTTGTCCCATTTAAAACTATCGTGTACTCTAGTTTGTTTTTCTTTTAACAGTATCTTTACACTGTTTTCATAAAAACTTCCTGACACACTCTATAATTTTTTACGTTATAATATTTTATTACCACCTTCTCCTTCAATGATTTTACGAGTTATTGTCTGCAATGGAACAAAAAAAGTAAAACAACAGGACACATTGTAAAAGAACCAATTACCACCATTTTTAACATAATAATAATAATAATAATGATTTTTGATGTGGACATTATTTACATTTTTCTACTGCTTTTTTACAGTCACTGTCTAAACAACTACAACACCCATGATCCTCTGGTGTGGTTGCCGTAGAAACGGACTCGGAGCAGGATTCTAAAAGCTTCCCTGTGCCACTGAAGGTGACTTCTACTCTACAGACTGATTTTACAGCTCTGTGATTGGACGTTTTCCTGCCCAGGTGCACTCTGGGCGTCGTAGTTCCGACTCACCTTTAGGCCCAGCTGGCCCGGCGCACCCCGGCGGTCCTTTCTCTCCCGGCGGTCCAGGTTCTCCAGGTGAGCCCTTGTGTCCGGGCAGCAGCCTCACCTCCTGGGTCACGTCCTTCCCCCGGAGGCCTGCGGGGGGCAGCGTTCAGCGTCAGCGGCGCTCAGGTGTTACTCAGGTGTGGTGTGATGTCACTGCCTTACCTCTCCTCCCAGGCGGTCCCTGGCATCCTGGAGGGCCGCAGGGTCCCGGTGGTCCGTCGTCCCCCTTCAGGCCTGAAACACGAAGAGAGACGCAGCTCAGAAAACCGAACGACAACAACGCAACAAACACACAAAAGCTGACGGAGCTTCAATTTCTGTTTGTCGTAATTTTGTGGTAATTTTTAAATTTCTGAGAAATGTTTCTACAGTTATTTTGTGTGTTTTTGTGGTAATTTTGTGTCATTTTAAAGTAGTTTTGTGTCTTTTTGTGGTACATTTGTGTTTCTATAGTTATCTTGTGTCTCTTTGTGGATGTTTTGTGTCTTTTGTGATAATTTTTTAAAATTTAAAAATGCTTTTATAGTTATTTTGTACATCTATGTGGCCATTTTGCATCTCTTTCTGGTAATTTTGTGTCCTTGTTGTTATTTTCTGCATCTTTGTTGTCTTTTTGTGTCTCTCTTCGGTCGTTTTGTAGATATTTTGAGTTTCTTTGTGGTAGTTTTGTGTGTCATGTTGATAATTTTATGTCTCTTTGTGGTAAGTCTGTGTCTAATTTTGGCTGTCTTGTGTGTCTTAATAGTCACTTTGTCTCTCTGTGGAGGGTTTGTTTCATTTTGTGATTGTTTTGTGTCTCTTTATAGTCATTCTGTGCCTCTTTGATTCATTTCTGGGTCCCTTTTAGGTCCTTTTGTGTCTCTTTGTGGCCGTTTTGTTTGTCTGTCTTTATTTTGTGTTTCTTTGTGGCCACCTCTTGTCTCTTTGTGGTGGTTTTGTGTCTTTTTGTGATCGCTTAATGTTTCTTTGTGATCATTTTGAGTCTCTTTGTGGCCGTTTTGACGACAAAACAACATTTAGGAACCGACGACCAGTAACTTTATATACTGACGTGGTTTTTCTCATGAGGAATGTGTTTGTTCTTACCGGCAGGTCCTTTGGTACCGAGTGGTCCTCTCAGGCCTTTGTGTCCACGTGGACCCGGAGGTCCGTCTCTGCCCTGTAAACAACAACAACAACAACAACAACAACTACTGTAATAAACACCTCACAGTTTGTGTTCACAGTCTAACCAGATACAGCATGTAGTTACCTTACAGCCTCGTTGTCCGGGCTCTCCGGGGCAACCAGGTGGTCCCGGTGCACCTGGTGGTCCTTTACAACCTTTATCACCTTTAAAGCCCGGACCAGGAGGACCAGGAGGACCACAGGTGCCAGGAGTACCTGCACACACACACACACACACACACACACACACACACACACACACACCACAAGTATATATAAGACCTGTTGTATGAAGAGGCTGATTTAGGATGGATTGGAACCAAATAACGACCATTTTTCTGGTACAACACCTGAACAGTGTGTCTCTTTGTGGCTGTTTAGCGTCTCGTTGTAGTATTTGGATTTTTCAGACACAAAACAACCACAAAGAGACACAACATCACTGAAAACTACCTCAACTACCTTTGGGTCCTCGTCCTCCAGGAACTCCTCGGTCTCCTTTGGTTCCTTCGATGCAGATTCCGTCCTTGCCGGGACATCCAGGAAGACCAGGAGGTCCAGGAGGCCCGGAGCAGCCTGGGTGCCCCGGAGGACCACATGAACCCGGTGGACCACAGGGACCAGGAGGACCCTTCTCTCCAGAACATCCTGTGGAAACAGGAAGTGACGCTTTAGCTTCTTCTTCTTCTTGCTCAGCTCTGACTGATCACAGGTGAAGCTCTGACGACTCACCTGGTTGACCTTTAGTCCCGTCTGGTCCTCGAGGTCCAGTTCCAGGAGCTGAGGAGAGAAAGTCATTGATTTATCCAGGTAGAACCAAGATGGTTGGTTATGAAGGGAGACAAACAATTAGAAAGATCCAGTAAAAGACCAGAAAGAGACACAGAACCAAATACAAATTGACACACAAAGACGCAAAAAAAGCTGCAAAACAACCACAAAGACCCTTCAAATGACTACAAATTGACACAAACCAAGACGAAAAAGAATGCAAAATGAACTCGAAGACAAAAAGTTACCATAAAGAGACTAAAACTGACGCAAAGAGACATAAAATGACACCTGGGAGACACAAAACGGGGACAAAGTGAGACTACAAAGATGCTCAAAAACAGCAGAAAGAGACACAAATCCACTTTAGAGAGACAGAACCATACACAAAGTGACGCAAAGTGAACAAAAACAGATGGTGATTCCGTTTAAGCAGAGATAAAAACCACCACTTAAGAGACACTGGATGCAAAATGACCACAAAGACACACAAAATGACAACGAAGCGATGAAAAAACGAGTTAAAACAGCCTCAAAGAGACAGAAAACATTCAAAACAATAAACTGTCTCGTTACATCTTCGTGTACACTGATGGTGCTTCTGTTATGAATCTGTGCATCTTTAAAGTCGATTGTGTCATTCCTCTTGTACTTGGCCCTACCTCCCATGGCTCCTTTCTCTCCAGGAGGTCCAGGTATCCCGTCCTGTCCCTGGTTTCCTCTGGGACCAGCCGGACCTGGATCTCCAGGAGCGCCCTTGTTGCCTGAAAATGAAGATATAATTAATTTTAAAAAAAACAGTGAAAGGACACGTGCGTTGTTTTGCTTTAATAATATTGCACCTGTGAGGCCGGTCGGTCCTGGAGGTCCACTTCTACCTGGAGGACCATGACAACCTTTATCACCAGGAGTCCCCGGAGGTCCTGAGAGCGACAGTCAGGGTTTTAGTTGACTTCATCTACATATAGTTGAGCTTGTTTGAATTCAATATGTCAAACTAACAGATTAACTGCTGAGTAAATTAGTGAGAGTGATACAAACATAGAGCAGAACATCGTCTGTGTACGAGGACAACAAATTAAAGATAAAAGCACCTTAAAATGAATTTACTATTGGAATCTCACAACCATTGCCACTCCTGTCTGTAAAAGTTAAAGATATTAAAACTTTAAATTGGCTTTACAGGGGTTTTTTTAAAGGATGAAAATACAAAAATTCTGGGTCTGAAAGCATATAAAATTATCAAAATTCCGCTCAAATAATTCCCAGAATTTAGTTTTTAGTCCCAAATAACTAATACATAGACTGTGAACAAAACCTAAGGCGGTGGAGCAACGTATTTCTTGAATTCTGTCTGAACTGAACTGACCCAAACGATTGAATTTCCAGATAATTGAAGTAACGGTTGTGTAAAATCAAACACAACATCCAGCAAACAGCCTGCTTCTTCTTCACACCACGAGTGACATTAAATACAGCTATGGTGCTATTTTCTAAATTTTCAATGTTCTCGTATCTTCAGATTACAAATATAATTATAAGATTAAAAACTTAATTTCTGAACCTGTTCTGAACGTCTTTTCACCAGAAACATGCTCAGTGTGTTCAAACTCTCTGTAATCACCTTTTCTGTATGCACAACAGTAGAGTTAAATAATAAGGAGAGAAACCTCTGCATCCTGGGGGTCCACAATGTCCTTTGGGGCCACAGGGGCCACACTTTCCTGGAGGACCGATGTTTCCACAGTGTCCTGGATGCCCCTTTGGACCTGGAGGTCCTGGACAACCTGGGTTCCCCTGAGACAAGGACAGAGCAGGAAAAAGTCTTTTACAATGTGACAGACGGCATCCAGGTGATACATATCTAAATATCTCAAACTAATATGTCAAACTAACAGATTAGCTGCTTTGTAAATTAGCGGGAACTTTGCAAACATAAAGCGGAACATCGTCTGCGTACGAGGATAACAGATTAACTGTAAAAGCGACTTGAAACGTATTTACTTCATGGCATCCTGCAAATATTGACACTCCAAGCAATTAAATATTTTTCTGCATCTTTGAATTCATTATCATGTTGCACATTTTTTTTGACAAATAATTGTCTTGGTTCGAAATATATAAAATCTTTTTACATTTTCCGACCCTCTATTGGTTTTCAAACATCTACTTTTTTTTTTTTTTTTTTAACAATCTGGCTAATTTAATGACTTACCTGTTTTATTTTTGCTTCCTTATTAAGCTTTAATCCGAGCACTGTGTTATTCACTCTATGATTTTGCTTTGTTTGTCAATACTAGGTTTGTTTTTCACGTCTCTTTGGGATTTACCTCATTACAAGAAAAAGAGAACAAAAACTCATAACATAAAATAAAAAGTGGTGTTATTGGGTGTTATATGTAATACTGTAAAAAAGACAATGACTACAGACTTTTCTAGACTGACTTTACTTATAACGTATTCACTTTTTAAACTTGTTTTTGTTTATTAATCAGCAAACTCTTTATTAGCAAGCATGTATGTCACCATTCAGCATAATTGGATGGTACTACCAGCGCAAAGTCCATCATAAAGACAACTAAACTGAAGCCTCATGAAGCCTTGAAGCTTTTTATGCAATTGGTTCAACAAAAAAAAAAGTTCATTTCTGGAGGCTTCATGTGCACACAAACCCCCCCCTGCTGGTCAGAAAATGTATCGTCATTTCAGCTATCAGAATCCTTTTTATTGTCACTACACTTCCATTCACACAACGACATCACAGTCAGAAGTCTCAGTTTTCAGCAACAAGAAAAATGGCATAATTAAGTAAATAATAAACTACGTGTGATGGCCTCTTGGCTGTCTGGAACAGTGTCAGCATGGGAAGGATCAGAGCCAAGAACAGAAATAAAAACACCTTCATTTGATTTAGTGTGGTTGGTTCATTCATTTCATGTGTTTCTGATCCATGTGGTGGGTGATAGAGGTCTGTTAACGTCACCAAAACCTGCCAGTATGATGTCAGTCAGTGTTTAAATACATCCAACAGGACATGATGAGATGTTCATGTTCAAACTGTTGGAGTGTTTTTAAAAGATGGGACAGTGATGGTTCTGAAGAACACTGGGCTGATCGGGACTTTATTGATTTTTATTAAGAAACTATATTTGTTCCACGACGCTTGGACACAGTCAGTTTCATTTTTTGGAAATAACTTCTCTGGCTTTGGAGAAAACCCATTCACCTGTGGATACTACAGCAGGAACACATCTCATGATGTGCAGGTGTATTAGTGGGAGAGCTCAGCTCAGAGTGCTGTCATACAGGGAAACCCTTCATGAGAACTACTTCCTCTACATCACAGACAAAGTGGCAAAACTCCAACATAAACACTGATATGCACATTTTGCGGCGATTCACTGTGATTTATGTCAAGCTTGACAGTCAGCATCCTGCAGAGCAGCTCGGTTCATCTGGATCAGTTGGTCGCTGAGCAGGAAATCCTATAAGCCACCATATCAACAACAGAGCTGTCATTTAATGCAGCATTTACTTCAGCATTAAGCCGGGATTTCTCTTCATCTGTCTCAATCTCATGTGATCTGTTTGTAATCACTGGACACACCCTGAAATGTGGAGGTGGAAGATTTCTCCAGAGCTGCAGTTTCCCAACAAGGCTGCTCCTGAAGGTGTATATAAGCAGAGCTGCACATCCAGAGCAGCACCACAACAACCTCCCTGAACATCTCTGAGACTTCTGACGCTGACACTTGACGGTAACTATATGGATGTTTTCTGGCAGTATTTTCTGAAGGAGGGCCATAGAATACTGACTGATGTATTTATTTAGTTTGACTCATTTCTTCAAGTATTTTTTCTTTTAGTCTTTATAGTTGTGTTTGTCTCAACAGGTGTGATCACTGAGAACATGCTGAAGGTAGCACTTGTGCTTGGATGCCTCCTGAGCCTCGCTCTGGCCAGTCCTGTAAGTGAGGCTTCATTATACTCCTCATAATATATGGAACA